CCAGGCCCGCCGCTTTTTTCCCGGCTTTGGGAAAAGCCGGAAAAAAGCGTCTAGACTGGCCCGATCCTCCGGAATAAAGCCCTATTCCGGAGGATCTCTTATTCCTACTCTGAAGTAGGAAAAAAAGCGGCGGCCATGTTTATTTAAATCGCGTGGGGGATATTTAAATCCCCCGCGGATTTCCCTATTCCCACTTTCAAAATTGGCATGCCCCTTCCGAAGAAGGGGCCAGTGTAGACGTAGCCACATTGTTACCAACATCCATGCTGAGGACTCTCAGATCGGCCTCTTGTTTTTGTTCTTGTCTCCATCTATCTAAACTAAAAGCGTGGCCTGTATCTCTGACATCTTCTCATGGATGTCTAGCCATTAGTTCAAGTGCATCATGGCTAAATAGAGTAATATTTTCCCCCAATTCATCCTCCTTTGCTTCCTTTTCTCAGTCATTGTGGATAGGACCACCAATCTGCCCATGACTCCATCTCCCAATCTGGGCATCAGCTTCGACTTGGACCTTTCTCTAGGTCCTTATATTCAGGGTATGTCTATATCTTGCTGATTCTTACTGTGTAACATCTGTATGAAACAATCTCTGCTGTCCATTCAAACAAGTCAAACTATCAGGATCCTTGGCAAAGGTAGGCAGGACTGCTGGCGGAAGCTTGGGATCTTGGAACTAAAGCTAGGGCTCAAAACCATTATCAGGCTCAAGAGTCAAGGTGAGGGTGAATTCAGAATTAACCCAAGGTTCAGAGCAAGGAGTCAAATTGAGGGTCAGTATTGGGTACCCAGGTTGTGTTGGGACTTCCTGAGGCCAATCAAGAGTCAGAATCCATATCAAGATCAGATCCCCAGGTCAATATCAGAAGTTCAGAAACAGAGAAATAGGGCAGTAATGGCAGCTCGTTAGGGAGCCTCATGGTTGCCTACATAATACGTGGCACGTCCCAATGTCTTGTATAGAGTCAAGGAGCTAATCACAAAGCACTCTGACCATTGACAGTCAGATCACATGAGATGGAACTTCCTGTGTTGTTCAACCTCAGCAGATTGTGAGTTTTAGGGGGTATGTCTAGACTACATGGCTCCGTCAACGGAGCCAGGTAAACTAGTTTACCTGGCATAGTCAATGAAGCGGGGATTTAAATAATCCCCGCTTTGTTAAAATAAACATGGCCGCCACGCTGTGCCAACAATCAGCTGATCCGCACAGTGTGGCAGTCTAGACACAGATCTGTCGGCTGGGGAAGCCTTTGCCGACCAATCCCTTATGCCTTCACCCGCCAACAGATCCGCGTGTAGAGGGCTAATCCTCAGAAGAATCCCCTTCCAAGGTTAATTGGACTATAAAAGTGAGGGACATAAACACCCCCAAGGAATCTTTGCCAGTCTCTCTCTATTGCATGCACTTTCTCTTTCACTCTCCTTTTCTCCTAAGAAGTAAAGAGGAAACAGCCCTTTGACTTTGGGTGAGTTTCTGACCTGAGCATTTGGTCAGCAGTGTTGCTAGGAACCTGTGGTAAGGATTTTACTTTGAACCAGTTTTATTAAGTTTTAGCTAGTAAAAAAACAAAAAAAAAAAACCCACATTTTTAAATTTCTGCTGTAACCATTTCCGACTTTAATACCTTATACTTACTCACTTAAAATTTATTTCTTCATTCTTAAACTTTTTACATTTTAAAATATAAACTAATCCTGTGTTCTGTTTAAATTGAACTGCTTGATAACTCCATTTAAAGTAGCAAACTATTGAATTTTGACCTTTTAAAAGCACAATGGACCTTTTCTATTTGAACTGCCTAGGAGGCTGAACAGTACAAAACAGATTTTTGGGGAAAATTTGGGACTGCATGTGTGTGGGTCATTGGGCAGGTAGTAACCAAGGCTTCAGGAAGCCGGAGTGTTGTTGATAGGCTGCTGGGGCCACTGTTGATAGATCAGGGGTGTAGCTATACACAGTCATGCAGGGTATAACCAGCTTATTTGTAGGCTATTTGTGAGTGGTCCAGGCAGGGTGGGTAGTGACAACTCCTCAGTGGTCTGAATTTCACCCTGGAATGTGACATCCTCTTCAAATCTCTTTGGCTGAGATCCCAGAACTGAAGAATGGCTCCATGTCGGCTCAAGAGTTCTACTCACCGCAGAAGTTGGTCCATTAAAAGATTTTACTTCATGTATCTTGCCTCTCTTACAAAAGTTGGTTAAGTTGCTGGTTTGTTGAGAATATTATCTATCATGTTGACCAATAGGTTTCACTATTTCCTTGTACTTCACCATCAGTCTGTATGCATCCATCTGTTGTCTCTTGTCTTCGATTGTAAGCTCTTACTTATTAGGTATTTTTTGTGTGTGTGTTGTGTTTTGTGCTGCACCCAGCACAGCATGATCCTGGTTTGTCTTAGTCTTCTGTCCACCATGCTGTAATACAAATATATAAAATAAATACAAATAAATATATATACAAATAATAACCTGGCAAAAGCCTTGTAGTATGACAGTTCAAATCTTTTTATTATTTTTCAACCAAACTAATGTAATTGCAGTTACTCTTTTTATTCCTCATATAGTTCTATGAACCTGTCTTTTTGCTCATCAGTTACATCCTTGTAAACTGTCAGGTTATTTAAAAAGTGTCAAAATATTGTTTGTCTACAGTGCTGTTCGGTACATTAGAAAATTACAGGACAAAACAGCAGTGTTTTTCTCACATTGTATACAGTGGAAGTGAGAGAACTATAATCAAAATAGCTTCCATAATCTGACTGAAAAGGTATATCCAGGTGAAGTGAGTATAGTTGGGTCTAATGAGAGGTAAGGCGTGATCACAGGGCTATAATTAAAATTCCTGAGTTTCTATTCCAAAACTGATATTAACAGGCTCTGTGTCATGGAGTGAGTCATTTAAATGCTGTACCTCAGTTTCCCTATCTTTAAATTATGCTAATGCATACACCACAGAGATGAGGTGGGAGGATTGACAGTGGCATTTTTTTAAATTCTGAATTGTATAAATGCTGACTAAATAGTCAAGGTGCATTATATGTGTTTTATTTTATAGGATATCCTGTATACACCGCTCCAGAAGCAATAAAGGGAGCTGACTTCTCCAAAGCTAGTGATTTGTGGGCGTTGGGCTGTTTGCTTTATGAAATATTTTCAGGTTGTATTTCTATCTATTTGATATTTGTGATAATTTGGAAAAATAAGTTTTTTGGTAGACTATAAAGACTTCCAGTTATTTCGGATCCTTATAAAATCAGCTGAGATCTGAGTTATAGTATAATTATAATATATTATTTTAACTGCTTCTTGTGCTCAAAATTGTATATTGATGGTTTGAGCTCCCATCCAAGGATTTTATTCTCTTAAGTATTACAATAATTTGCCAAAAGCATGAATTTAGATACAGGCAGTCCCCGGGTTACGTACAAGATAGGGACTGTAGGTTTGTTCTTAAGTTGAATTTGTATGTAAGTCGGAACTGGTACATATTGTAGGGGAAACTCTAGCCAAACATTTCTCCAGAGCTCAGTTTTATTCTCCCACACCTCACTTCCCTCAGGCTTTATTCTCAAGCTGAGGTGTCTGCTGAGAAAAGCCGCTCCACCTCTCCCTGGTCTGCTGGGGTGGGGGGGCGCTAGCTTCGCATCTCCCTGGTCTGCTGGGGGGTCCTTCCCCCTGTTTCCTGCCTGCGTGGGGGGAGGGGTGGAGGGCGTAGGAGTCCTGGGACTGTACCAGCTCCAACTGCTCAGGCAGCACACACTTTTTGTTCCACTATTTCTTATGTTAAATTACATTTATATTAAATTTTTGTGCCAAGAAAAACTATTTGTGTTTATTTTTAATTTTAAATAAAAATGTTTATACCAAGATTTTGTGTTTATTTTTAATTTGAAATTACGAATTGAATTTGTATTAAAAGTGGGGGTTGGATGATGGTAAAGAGGAGGTGGGCAGGCGTGCAGGATGCGAGGCCGCGGGGTGGGAGGGGCAGCGGGCGTGGGGAGGCACTTTTCCTCTGCCCGGCAGCTCTGCGGGACCCCAGTCGTAGCCGGCCCGAGGAGGAGGAGGATCCTAGGACCCAGGTGAGCGAGCCCCGGGAATGCTGCTGCGCATGTGCGGGAGTTGCCTCACCCCGTTCGTATCTAGGGATCCGACGTAAGTCGGATCCACGTAAGTCGGGGACTGCCTGTACTTAAAATTGCACTAGTTGGGCTTAGGAAAGAGGGGAGGGAAGGGAGCATCTAGGAAGGTGAAATCTCCTTCAGACCAGGGTGCAGATTGTAGTGCAGTCTTGCTGTATTCATCTACACAATGGCTACATCTACACTGGCATGATTTTCCGCAAATGCTTTTAACGGAAAAGTTTTCGGTTAAAAGCATTTGTGGAAAAGAGCGTCTAGATTGGCACGGACGCTTTTCCGCAAAAGCACTTTTTGTGGAAAAGCATCTGTGCCAATCTAGACGCGGTTTTGCACAAGAAAGCCCCAATCGCCATTTTCGCGATCGGGGCTTTTCTGCGCAAAACAATACCGCGTTGTCTACGCTGGCCCTCTTGCACAAAAGCATTTGCACAAGAGGGCTTTTGACCGAATGGGAGCAGCATAGTATTTCTGCAAGAACACTGGCAATCTTACATGAGATCGTCCGTGTTCTTGCGGAAATTCAAGCTGCCAGTGTAGACAGCTGGCAAGTTTTTTCCGCAAAAGCAGCTGCTTTTGCGGAACAACTTGCCGGTCTAGATGCAGCCAATATGTTGGCCTGTTGCATTAATATAGATGTGGTTCTTGCTGTTGTCTTTATCTACTCTGCTGCCATTTGGGGATACTATGGAGACCTGCTTTGGGACACAAGTCATGAAGGGTGATTCTTAGTGGCTGGCCTGCCACTAGTGGTTTGTTCTGTAGGCCTCATTGCTCACTGACTCTCACTACCCAAGGTGTTTCTATGTAAATTTATGTGAATTTGTTAAATTTTAGTTCAGTTTGATACTAAATTCTCATTCGAGAAGCAAGTAACAATTATTTTGCAGTTGAACCAAGTTTCACGTAATTCTATCAATCTATTTATGTTTATAGGAAAACCTCCATTCTTCTCAGAAAGCTTTTCGGAATTAATTGAACAGATTTTATATGAAAATCCTTTGCCACCTAAACCTAAAGGTAATATTTTCTTATTACTAAATGAGTCAAACAAGAGTAATGTTTATAATGTAGCAGTCAGTTTTGTTTTTTTATGTTATCTAATATTTTGATTTGCAAAGAATATTCTGCTTTAAATTTTTAATTGCTGAAGTGCATTTTCTTTTTGAATTCAATGTGTTTCAAAAATGTCTTAATTCTGCTATCTCTCTAACTGATTATTAGAACTGTTATCCTTTTGGAAGCTTACTGTTATGTTCCTCTGTATTACTGCTCCTAGGGCAAATGCATAAGTCAAATAAAGTTAATATTAACAGTTTTCTAGCTGGAAATAGGTTTTATTCTTAAGCCATTACTTAATTAACTTGACTCAATAGAACAGGGGTAGGCAATTTTTGATTGGGGGGGGGCACTCCAAGATTTTGGAAAGTAGTTGGGCTGTACTCTTCCATGATATTAAAGGAGATGCAGGGTCTGGGATGGAGGTTGGGCGCAGAAGAGAGCGTGGGGTAAGGGACTGGGGTGCAGGAGGGAGACTGGAGTCTGGGAGGGAGTTGAGATGAAGCAGGCAGTTGTGACCTAGGACAGGGGACTGGAGTACAGGGGTTTGGGATGTGACCTAGGATAGGAGGGGATTGTGATCTGGGGCAGGAGATTGGGGTGCCAGATGTGGGAGGAGGTATGGGTGTAAGAAGAGGACAGAGTGTTTGGATATGTTCAGTGGTGGGGCAGAGTTGGGGCAGGAAAGAGCAGGGGTGCTAGAAGCAGGCTGTGGTCAAGAAACTTACTTGCCAATTGCCAAACTAGCCTTCCTTCCTGCAGAGTTTGAAATGTTTCCCAGCCAGCCTGCCTGGCCATGTGCTTCATGAATAGCTGCGCCCAGGAGAGGGGGCATGATTCTTTGTAGCTGGCTGTTATTCTAATAAGCAGCTCGCATTGGCTGGTTTCTGCCAGAAACTAGCCAATGGGAATGTGTTGGGGGCAAGGCGGCTTCTAAAACTTCCCCGCTCCCCTACAGTTTTAAAACAGAAATGGAGCTCTGCAGCTGCATTTCTGTCCTGTGCACAGGGCAAGCAGGGGAACCTTGCCTGGGGCTCCTCGCTGCCTCCGAGGGCTTGGCAGGCTGTCTTTTGCCCAGGCCTGTTTATAGAATCATGCTGCAATGATATCATGTTAGTTGAGTAGGTGCTTTTTTATAAGCCTCTATTTTCAGATGGCTATAATTTAATAAAAATTACCTTTTTGGTTAAAATTTCTGATGATGCTTTTTGGCGTGAAAACAAGTGTGTCTGTCTTTAAATTGAGTCAAATTACATTTGATTACATTGAGTTCTTAAAGCAAGACAAAGCAGCTGTTCTTTGTCAAGTTAAAGAAAATGAATCAGAATTTTTTTTCTTTGATGCAAAAAGCTTAGTAAAAGTTCTAAATCTTGTTAAGGACTTGTTCTCAAAGACATTTGATATGTGTGAGCAGCATGGCTTCAAGGTAAAAGGGGCTGAAACGGTACAAATGACTAGTAGTTTAAATAACATAGCGTATGTCTGTATGTAGGTAGTAGGGATGCGAATATTAAATTGGTTAACTGGTAAGCCTTACCCTTAATGGGGTCCTTTAAAATGCAAGAAGATCATATTTTGGACTTTGGATTCATTTAGTGTGTGTTTGAATTTATTCTTAATTAAATTTAAAAAACATGGTTAATTAAAATAATTGTATACAGTTTAGTCTTTTGTCCTGGCCCCACCTCTTTTGCCTGAGGCCCTGTTCCTTCCAGGGTGGCCCAGGGCCTCTTAAATTTCTGAAGTGGCCCCCCATCTAAAATTATTGCACACCCCTTCATGATAAGGACTCCAAGACTACTTTGCATTCTCTTGGGATACTTATATATTCCTATAAGAGAAGGTTTAGCAAGGCTTAGATGTCTCAGAGATCCCATCCTGTGCAATTACCAGCCTTCTAGAGGTCAAATGAGCCACATTAGAAGAGAGACAAATTGCAGAGGAGGAAACCCTCCTCCTTTCAGCCTTTGACCTTGTACCCTAACAGCTCCAAGCAGCAGTTTTAATGGACTCATTGAGGGCCTGATAAACCATCTTCATCCTTACCAGCTGCACCAATTTAACTGCCTTCTTCCCTTCCCTCTACTCCTTCAGGCAGGCTTCAGTGTCTTTCTCCACAGACAAGTGGATTTTGGAGATCATCTCCCTAGGGTGAGCCATCTACTCCAATATTCTTTCACCAATGCCCTTTCCAATTCCTCTTCAGGTATTCCTCTCATGACAGCTGGCTTTGTGAAGAAATGGACTGTCTCGTGTACTTGATATTGCATTCCAGCCTGGGACTTAATGGTTGCAGAGCGATCTGCCACTGGGTTGATGAGGATTCAGCTGCAACACTTTTACTGAGTCACGATCAGCCCTGTAGCTGACCAATGGTCAGCTCTTTTTGGGCTACTTATTGTCTCCCCAGGGTTTGGTATCTCTGGGATTCAAAGGTCCTTGGGCTACTCGGGGTATACATTGACAGTAGAGCAGGCCACTCCAGTTCTGAGTGTCTTTCCTCTGGGATCAAGATGTGAATGGGTACAGCTTCAACTTCATCCTCCTTTTACAGTATTTTTTTATGGGCAAGGTAATGTTGTGACCGCACCCCAACTTTTTAGCTAATTAACTGGTTTTGATATAATCTGGAGCCATCTTGTGCACTGAACTTCCCTCCCCACCACTAGGATCGAGGACATGATAGAGTCAGGAGAAAACAGTAAAACTGCAGTTTGCAGATGACTGGGATAGATAAAATGAAAAGGACATATTCATGGGGATTTGAGGGAATGTGGAAAACTGACCTTAATTTGTGGTTGTCTGTGTTAAATTTGTTTGTCTTTCTTTTCCTGAATCAGCTTCGCGGATACGGAGAATAATCAGTTGTTACTAGCAGATGCCAGGGAATAGCCTATTAGAGGCTATTATGAATTATTGTGCTTTTGTCCACAGAAAATCTATAGAGTTTAGAGAGTATGCTTTTGACTAGTCTGAGGAAGCTTGCTTTTTGTTGAGCTGACACCTAACTTTACCACAAATGGACCAAAGGAGGACCCTGGTTGCTGATAATCTGAAACCATCTCAGATGTTGGGCAATTATAAATGTTTGTGGTACTCTGTGGATAACAGTCTCCTCTGAGTTTCATATTAATCAACCCATTCATCTGCCTGTCTTCCACCTCTTAACTAGGGATGTTAAAATGTGTGTAATGGAGCAACCTGTGTAACCAATGAAATAGTCAGCATTTACATGCGGGGCTGTAGTTGGCTCCCAGGGAGAGTGCAAGCTGGAAGCTTGTGTTTAAGCCAGCTTCTCGTGCATGCTGGCTCCTGCCTGCTGCCTCATCCCACTCCCTCTATATCAGAGGTTGCAGTGCTGGGCAGCAGGCCACTCCCCAGGAGCTGACGTTTAAGATGGCTGCCCATTTGCACCAGCTCCTGCTTGCAGCCTTGCTCCCCGGGAGCTGGCTGCCACCCCATGCTGCTTCCTCTGTACTAGAGGCAGGAGCACAGAGTGGCAGCCAGCTCCCCAGAAGAAAGCGGCGGGAGCCTTTGTGTAACTGTGAACGTTATCTTATAAGCCCAGGCTTATTGGTTAACCATTTACATGGTTAAACTTTTGCATCTCTACTCTTAACCTCACGTAGATGAACAAAAGGCATTTTTGCAGCATACCCCTGATGTACACCTGATGTTAGGGGAGTCCTGGTCAATGTCCCGCTAATATTTTCCATCTTTGTGCGGGTTGAACACCAATACCAAAGTTGTGTGGATGTGCATCACCAGTAACAACAAAAACTCTAGATATAAATATATATTTTAAGTAGTTGATAGGTATGCAGGAAGCAAAAATATGAAAAATGAGGGCTAATTGACTAGGCACAATGTTTAAGATGTTTAATATAAAATCAAATAAAAACAGAAAATTAACAGTGCTCTTGGAGTACATGTACTTTATCATCCTTTAAACAACCCAAGATAGTAAACACACTGCAATGACGTTGCTATGATCAGAGAATACTCTTATCTCCTAGCTACTGCTACTGCAGCCCAGGTGAGAAATGAGATGCTACAAACTCCCTTCTTCTCTGCTCCTTACTGACGCCTACTCACCCACTTCCTCTCTCCTTCTGTTCCCTATGTACCAGCCCACTCCTCCGGCCCCAGCAGGGAGCTGCTGAGGATGGGGAAGAGGTGCCGCTCCTCAATCCACCACAGCTCTGTGCACAGCAGCCTGAACCCCTGTCACGGGGCTTATTAGGCAGCTGCAGAGCCACACAACTTAGCAGGGACCTTGGACATGGCCTTCTGTCAGTGTAGAACTCTAAACAGTTCAGAAAGAGAAACTATTTGCAGGTCTGTCACAGATAGAGCAAAGGGTATGTATTCTCTAATCAAAGACTTTCCAAGTGGGTGTTTGACTACATTAATTCTTGCTATGTATCTACTAATATTCAGACACCTTTGGACATATGAACTCACTATATGAGATGTGTTTCTACAAATATGGCTTTTCTCAATAAGGTACCCATTATTGTAATATATGAGTTACTGTTATTTGGGCTTCTATACATATATTTGCTGAACACTGTGCAATAACACATGACTGCTTCTGATACTGTTTGACTCAGCTGTGCTTTCTTTTGAACTGGACCTAACTCCAAAGCTCCCTCCTCCTTAAAAGGGAACTAGTTTGGAACCACCTAGAATGGACAATTCACAGGGACACTACTCTGGAAAAAAAAATGGTTTCTCACCATGTGCAGTAACTAGTTCTTTGAGATATCATCTCTAAGGAGGCTCCATTTCTTGTTCTTCCACTCTCCTTTGGAGTTCTTTGGTATAGGGCCTCTCTGTAGAGAATGAACTGAAGACAGTTTGCTTGCACCATGGTATATATCAATGACATGAGGCTGACTGGCATGGATGTGTGCGCTTAAATGGCATTGTCATGAGACATTTCCAGTTAAAGGAATAAGGGCCACAAGCACACTTAGGATGGAGTACCATGTGGGACACGTGCTGAAAAATTACATTTACTGCACAGGGGTTTTTTTTACACTGTATGAGAACTGTTCCAATGTGAAAATTTAATTTTAGACACTTTTAAAATGACTGCTGCTTAGTTACTGAAAGCTTAGGTTCTGGTTGTATAATCATATACAAGTAGACAGACCTTTGTACCCCTATGTGTCCCATTGTCTGTAGTAACTAACAGTAGGAACAGGAACTATATATGAACTCTACATTTCTTCTATTATTCATATTATGATTCTAGTTTTAGGCTAAATTATTTGTGTTACCAATATTATTTGAAGTACTTCTATTTACAGGTTCTACTCTTCCCAAGCCTTCTTCAAACTTCCTTAGTTTGCTAGATGGTTTGCTGCAAAAAGATCCTGAAAAGAGGTAAAGCAGTCTTATCCATGGCAGTTAATCACATGATATGTTTTCTTTTTTTTCTGAAAAGCGATGACTGTTACAATACTGAAATCTTGACGTTGCAAATTACATCTGCAAAAAGATGTAACTATCTGTTCTGAATTTGTTGCAGTTAGTTAATATGGTTTTCCTACAAAGATTTGTGCCAGGTCTTTGTTTAAATTACTCTGATACTCAGTACTAGACAAATAGACACAAGGATAATGGTACTGATGGCAATTTTAGAATTATATACTATTTAAAGTCAGGACAGCCTTGTTTGTAATGTGAGAGAGGAGAGGAGTTAAAATATCTATATTCCTGGGTTTGTGACTTACAAATGATGTGATTACATATTTACATGCTGTGTGGTTTGGTGTTCACCAAGAAATTCATAGAATATTAAATCATGACATAAGAACATAAGAATGGCCGTACAGGGTCAGACCATCTAGCCCAGTAGCCTGTCTGCCAACAGTGGCCAGCACCAGGTGCCCCGGAGGGGGTGGACTGAAGACAATGATCAAACAATTTGTCTCATGCCATCCATTTCCAACCTCTTGACAAACAGAGGCCAGGGACACCATTCCTACCCCCTGGCTAATAGTCTTTTATGGACCTAACCTCCATGAATTTATCTAGCTTCTCCTTAAGCTCTGTTATAGTTCTAGCCTTCACAGCCTCCTCTGGCAAGGAGTTCCACAGGTTGACTACGCACTGTATGAAGAAGAACTTTCACTTAGCAGTTTTAAAACTGCTACCCATTAATTTCATTTGGTGTCCTCTAGTCCTTATATTATGGGAACTAAGGAATAACTTCTCTTTATTCACCCTCTCCACACCACTCATGATTTTATATACCTATATCATGTCCCCCCTCAGTCTCTTCTTTTCCAAACTGAAAAGTCCCAGTCGCTTTAGTCTCTCTTCATATGGGACCTGTTCCAAACCCCTAATCATTTTAGTTGCCCTTTTCCGAACCCTTTCCAAGGCCAAAGTATCTTTTTTGAGGTGAGGAGACCACATCTGTACACAGTACTCAAGATGTGGGCGTACCACAGTTTTATACAGGGGCAGTAAGATATTCTGTCTTATTTTCTATCACTTTCTTAATAATTCCTAACATTCTATTTGCCTTTTTGATCGCCACAGCACACTATGTGGACATTTTCAGAGAACGATCCATAATGCCAAGATCTCTTTCCTGATTTGTCGTAGCCAAATTAGCCCCCATCATACTGTATTTTTTCCAATGTGCATTACTTTACACTTATCCACATTAAACTTCATTTGCCATTTTGTTGCCCAATCACTTAGTTTTGTGAGATCTTTTTGGAGTCCCTCACAGTCTGCTTCTGTCTTGACTATCTTGAACAGTTTAGTACCATCCACAAACTTTACTACCTCACTGCTTGCTCCTTTCTCTAGATCATTTATGAATAAGTTGAATAGGATTGGTCCTAGGACTGACCCTTGGGGGATACCACTAGTTACCCCTCTCCATTCTGAAAATTTACCATTTATTCCTATCCTTTGTTTCCGGTCTTTTAACTGGTTCTTAATCCATGAAAGGGCCTTCCCTCGTATCCCATGACAATGTAATTTACAGAAGAGCCTTTGGCGAGGGACCTTGTCAAAAGCTTTCTGAAAATCTAAATATACTATATCTACTGGATCCCCTTTGTCTGCATGTTCGTTAACCCCCTCAAAGAACTCTAATAGATTAGTAAGACATGATTTCCGTTTACATAAACCATGTTGACTTTTGCCCAACAAATTTTGTTCGTTTATGAGCCTAACAATTTTGTTCTTAGCTATTGTTTCGACTAATTTGCCTGGTACTGAAGTTAGACTTACCTGTCTGTAATGGCTAGGATCACCTCTAGATCCCTTTTTAAATATTGCTGTCATGTTAGCGATCTTCCAGTCAGTAGATATGGAAGCCGATTTAAAAAATAGCTTATAAACCACAGTTAACAGTTCTGCAATTTCCCATTTGAGTTCCTTTAGAACCCTTGGGTGAATGCCATCCGGTTCTGGTGATTTGTTAACGTTAAGTTTTTCTATTTGTTCCAAAACCACCTCTAATGATACTTCAATCTAGGACAGTCCTCAGATTCATCTCTCACAAAGGATGGTGCAGGTTTGGGAATCTCCCTAACATCCTCAGCCATGAAGACTGATGCAAAGAAATCATTTAGCTTCTCCGCAATGGCTTTATCATCCTTGATTGCTCCTTTTGTATCTCGATTGTCTAGGGGACCCACTGGTTTTTTTAGCAGGCTTCCTGCTTCTAATGTACTTAAACATTTTGCTATTGTTTTTTGAGTTTTTGGCTAGCTGTTCCTCAAAATCTTTTTTTGCTTATTACAGTTTTACACTTAATTTGACAGTGTTTATGTTCCTTTCTATTTATCTCACTGGGATTGGACTTCCATTTCTTGAAAGATGCCTTTTTGTCCCTCACTACTGCTTTTACATGGTGGTTAAGCCATGGTGACTCTTTTTTTTTTTAGGTCTCTTACTATGTTTTTAATTTGGGGTATACATTTAAGTTGAGCCTCTATTATGGTGTCTTTAAAAAGTTTCCATGCAGCTTGCAGAGGTTTGGCTCTCGTCACTGTGCCTTTTAATTTCTGTTACACAAAAATTAGGAGGTTAGTTAAATTCCCCTTTTTGAAATTAAATGCCAGAGTGCTGGACTGCTGAGGTGTTCTTCCCACCACAGGAATGTTAAATGTTGTTATATTATGGTCACTATTCCCAAGCGGTCCTGTAATAATTACCTCCTAGACCTGATCCTGTGCTCCACTCAGGACTAAATCAAGAATTGCCTCTCCCCTTGTGGGTTCCTGTACCAGCTGCTCCAAGAAGCAGTCATTTAAGCCATTGAGAAATTTTATTTCTGCATCTCTTCCTGAGTTGACACGTACCCAGTCAATATGGGGATAATGACACTATATTGTAGTGTTGTTTCAGTCTCTTTATTTTGTTGTATCAAAAAGATTAAACTGGACAGGCCTGTTACAACATCCATTCTGGAAAGATGCTTTCAGCAGACATGATGATGATTCCACAAACAGCCGGGACACAAGCTCAAGGTACAGTAAGTTTAGTGACAATAACATTTTATCTATTTTAGAAATGTGTATCTATCTGTCTATCCATGAGTCTGTTCAAGAACTCTTCCTAAACAGTAAGAGCTAGGATTGCCAAATTTGGTATACAGCTTCCTCCTATACTAACTTAAAAGAAGGCCATGGTTTGGCTGTGCCAGAAAAATGGGAAGTCCTTGGAATGGGACTTTTTTCTGCAACATGGAAAGGGATGGGGCTCTTTGGATGGACATGATACTGCGCAGTGACCACTAGGGGCAGCGATTGCAGAGGACAGCAATACTTCAGAGTGATCATTGTGGGTAGCCATACCATCAAGAGAGTGGCCGGCTGGGGCTTATCAAATTGTCTGACACCAGACCAGGTAAGTAGCCCCCCGTCCCAACCCTTCCTCCCCCGAGGCCCTTAGCTGCCGTAGGGCAGGGAGAGAAGGCCTCTGCCAGCTGGAAGGCCTGGGGAAAGAGAAGTTATGCCAGATGGAGCCCCTCCACCCTTAGCCCCTTCTAATCCCCACCACCACTTTCACACCTCCTCATGTCCTCAGCCCCCTGCCCTGAGTCCCTTTCTTCTCCCTCCCTTCCCCCTCCCCGAAGCCAGCCCTCTGCCCTTAAGGACCTGGGCAATACCAGGTAAGTCTTCTAATCTAGTAATTATAAGTAGACAAATTATCCTTTTTAACGTATGAAAACTGTTTCCTGGTTGTTGTTTGTATTTTTAATTTATGAAAAAGCTTTTCATTTTATGTTGTTACAGTGCTTTTGTAGCACTGATTTATCCTGTGGGCTCTTGAATCTTGTCTCTTGAAACATGTCCCCTGTTGACAAAACTAGTATATACATAAAAACAACGAAGTATTGATTTTTGAAGTGTTTTAAGTTATTATCTTAACTAGCATCTCTAATTTAAACAGCAGTGAAAATACAAAGATACTGGTATCTAGAGATATTAAGGATCCATTGGATATCCATAAACATTCAGATGACATGCCATCATCAAGAGCAGATAATAAGCAACTCAATAGATCTTTCAAACTAGGTAAGATTATGTAGGTAAGATTATGTATTGCTAATATTTCCTCATTTCAGCTGACAGTCTTCTTTAAATGTGATCAGCCTTGTAATCCTAGCAGTATACCTATTACATAATTTTTTTCCTCTTATCCCCTAAAATGATATGAATTCCATGTTTTGTTTTTTGTTTTTAACAGAAAATCCATCTGAGTTGCAGCCTAAAAGTGCACCTACTGGTGAATCAAATGAGTCCATATTTCTTCTCAGGTATGACATGAAAGAATACACTACAAAATATACACTACAAAAGAAAAAAATGTCTGCTGTATCTTCTTAGATGTATTATTTTCAATTAAAAGAATGCAGGCTGGAATGCGGTATTTGTATGCAAGCAAATGGCCACATGATTCTACATGCAAAATTGTGTCTAGATAGTTAGTATAAAGAAACCTTGAAGAGATAACATGGCCACCAATTTAAATATTGCTTCATTTTATTTTTCATGGCAATATCTTGCAGTCTTTGGGCTGTGTAGCTAAACAGGATTAGAAAATAAGTAGTTTTATCTGTTGTTTGCAACTTCAGATCTTTTCTTGTTTTTATATATGCACCATGCTCTTTACCATTTAAGCAATTTTTAATTGTTTTCTAATAGATTGGGATTTGGGGTGTTTAAAGCATGTAACTTCAGCCATGCCTACAAATGGTACCTGCAAAGCCTTGTCATTTGTATTGCACGGGTACTCCGTTGGGATGTGTGGTAATCGTGCAATGTGCCATAGGAGCCATTTTAAAAAACAACAACCCTGAAATGAATTGAGTTGGTAAGGGTATGTGGGTGTGTTTGTTTGCTAGAAGGCAGGAAAGATTTTTTTTTTTTTTTTTTTTTTTTTTTTTATATAGGAGGTTTAGTTTATGTCCATGAAGCAGAAACTTGCTTGCTTAGAAACAGCTATCCCTCAGTATTCACTATTCTAGCAGAATTATCCAAAGCAAGAATCACACTGGGGTAAATATCCAAACATCTAGCTTGGATAACCCACCACCAATTAATTTGGTAGTGATTGTGTTTTTATCACAGCTCCAAAGAGCCAGCAGTAAGAATGGTATCAAGTGCACTGCAGTCTAGCAAGTTAATTCTCTTAAAATATTGTTTAGTGACTCATACATTTAGAAGATGGGATTTTAATCTGACTACATCCTTTGATGTAGAGGACTCATGGAAGAAAAAACCCATCCAACATACTATTGTGAGAGATTTATAAACCAGATGTATACATTGGGTTGATGAAACATT